TGCTTCTCTTCTCAGTTTCTTTCTCTCCTTCCCACTCTCTCTCTCTCTTCCTCCATCTCTCCCTCTCTTTCTCTTTCTTTCTTTTATTCATATTTAGTAGGGACCTAGAGCCAGCACAACTTCTCACAGCGAGTTGGATCTGTTAGCAAAACATCGTACTACATTGCTAGTCTTTTTGTACTGTCATTCAGAAGCTGAATATTTCTATTACTTGGGTACTTGCAAAATAGTGACCAAAATGTACTGTGTTGGGTAGAAAATACCATCTTAACAACGGATTGCCCTAAGCAAGTTCCAAACCAAATTTTAGCCTTGCTTCACCTTGGTATAAATAGCTATGCCCATTTTTAAAAAATCTTTCTCTCTAACAGTATAGTCTCTGTGGTTATTTTTAGTAATGAGCCACGTTCTTTACTTGCTAGAACTCAAACTTGTCTTTAGCCAATTATCAGTGCAGTACTCACATCATAACTATGTAATGTTCTCGTAAGATATCTGTCTGTGCAATATGGAAGCTATGAGTGGATTCATAGCTTTTTGGTTTAATTGTACATCATTGTGTGTGTACATGTGTACATATATGTGTATATATATATATATGGACCAAAATCCTTAGCTTGCTTACACTGTTGCTAGTGTAAAGATTGTTACACTTAATTTTACAGGGCACAAATTATGGGGATTACCTTTATAGTCCATGGTAATATACTTCCATAAATTATTGCATTAATATACAATTACCAATTTAATTATGAAGTTCATAGGTATTGACAAGTTACAGTGAAGTGCTCAAACCACAAATTATGTAGTAACTATATTTTGGGTTGTTTAATTAATCAAAATATGCATGTCATTGTGACACATGATGTGTTAAAACATGATAATCATATTTCTGGGCCCTGTAAAATAGTGTCACTGCAATACTCTGTTTGCCTCCTGCCTTGTTTACATTAAACAAAGGACATTTGGTAAATTTTCCTATTGAACATTGTGTAGGTTACTGACAGTGTTACCATGGCCTGAAATTCTTGGGCCATCTCTGAAGAAACTTCAGGTGGTGATTGTGTACCTACTATCTCTTTAAAGGAAGTTGTGGTCAAGTCCAACTTTTTGTGCTAACAATGCATGCAGGACTAAGAGGGATGATCTAAAAATAAATCATGCAATTTAAACAAAATGTCTTGTATTCTTATAGACTTCTAATTGGAAACGTGTTTATTCACCGGTAAGTTGAAAACAATAATTCCTAACACACAAAAGGGTATGGCACACAACAATCAATAGGTCCCTACAGCATTGACTTCAGGGAGAGAACGGGAAAGAATATATTAATATTTGTGGAGGGGAATGTGCAGTTTGAAAGATCCCCCTGGGTGAGCCTCAAAAATGTGTCCCCCACGCTTGGAATAACTATAAAGGCAATGCTTATTAAAATACATTTCATTTTCAAAACTGAGCTATCAGCAGTTAAAGTGTGTATATATTTCTTTGGGACACCCTGTATATTATCCACCCCACCCCTTAGGAAACACTTCCTTAAAGGAAGGAATGTTTGTAAAAGTCTTCAGAAAACATTTCATTGAAAGCATTCCTTCTCATATATTTATAACACATATAAAAACTTTTTAACTGACATTTAAAACAATTAGACTCTAGGCTTATCCCACTCACTTGAGTATTTGCCGAAGTCCCTTGACGGGAAACTGAAAGAAATGTAAATCATGACACAACCAGAAAGAAAAATCTACTTATCAACCCCACCTACGTGATTCTTTTCAGCCAGTATTATCCAGAACAGTGTTAGAAGGAAGTGAAGAGGATAACAGGTTCTAAAGATGCAGGGAGGTAAGGTTTAGGCTTTGAAGAGTTGAAATTACCCTCCGTGCCTTGAGCTACATCAAAGGAAACTGCGTTTTAGGGATATATAATCAGATCCCCAGTCCAAACACCTGCTTCAGACTGCTACCAGTGAAGGATGCGGCAGTGTTTCGCCTGTTAAACTAGCTATCTCGTGGGAATTTAAAGAATTAACATTAAATTGTTAAGGTTGACATTTTGTTAGAGTGAAAACCATGCTGCTTCCTCAAAAACATAACCAAGCAAACACACTTCACGACAGTTGGATGCTGACGCTCCATGAAAGAAATGGGATAGTTTCTAGTTGGTCTTGAGCCAGTTAGGAGAGGTGTGGCCTGTGGTCTAGCTCGCGGGAGACTGGTTAACTGTTGATATGGCTCACTCGCCACACCAGGGAGCTCCGTCTTGCAGCTAGCTAGCCCTATTCCATGCACACGCATGACTCGTGGTTTCACTGTTGTGTATGCATTAGAGATTTTCGTGTTATCGTAGCATTTCTAAAAATGTACCAGAAATATGACACTTCTGTGTCACTCCAAAACAAAGCGAAACAATAGTTTGGTTCATCCAACAAATATTTTTTGAGAACCTCATGTGAACCAGGTTTTTAAGGTGCTGGAAAACAATGAGAAGCAATTCTGCCCCTGAGAATTCAGTCTTGGTCAGGGCTCAGTGTGCGTATGCAAGTCCATTACAACACAAACACACACACACACACACACACACACACACACACACACACTGGTGAAGGCTGTGAGAGCGCAGAGAGGAGCAAGCAGTGTTGCAGATCATCTGAAAGGAAAATCCACACCTCAAGTCTTGACTGATTCTTCCTCGTGAGTATAGAAATGCCAGGTATCCTGAGAAGTCATAACCGTGACCTCAACTCAGCGAGAAGTGGGGAGCTGTTCTGTACCCTCTTATGTTTACCACGATCCACTGCTTCCCCTTCATTCTGAGGTTGGTATACAGCACCAGCCCAAACAAGTGTGCTTTGGAGCCCATATTTTCTCAGCGGATGAGTAGTAATTACTGTACTGATTTAAATGATCTCTTTCTAGAATTATTATAGAGAGAAGGCAAAAAAGTCAATTGGAATATTAAAACCAAAGGTTTAAGTAGGCTTAAAAAAAATGACCTCAACATTAGGAGTAAGATTTGGTTTAGAAAAAAACATTTACAGAACCAAAGCTTCCTTCTTGCTTTAACTCAGTGCTCCCCTGACTACACTCTTTATTGCCACCTGGGTTGGGGTACGAGGTGGCTGCATATCCAACTGAGAGAGAACCAGCTGGGGTGGATGGGTCGATGGCAACAGGAGCCGCGAATCCAGAGCCACTGCTGGATATGGGAAGAGGTGGAATGTGTAGAACTCCATCCATTCCTGGAATTTAAGCCTGGGGTCAGGCTAGGGGTCACACCTGCCACGGAGCAAGATGAAGAGCCCTGACCTCTGGTAACCTCCCTCTACCTTTGGTCTTCTAGAGGTAGCCTCAAGGAATTGCCTGGTTCCCCAAGGGTGAGCCTGAGGACTGAAGGAAATCCAGTGTTATATTACAACCCTACTCATCCCTCTAATCAGACTAGTCAAGAACCAACAGAACTTTTCTTTAAGAAAAATGGGGGAGGGGAAAAGGGGTATTAAGGTAATATTTCTCTTGACTGAGTAACCAAAGCCTGGAATGTAAGCAGGACCCAGTAGGACTGTCAGGAATTCCAGGACTGCCATGGATTACTTTGCTTCCATCTGAGGAGGGGAGGGTGGGGA